CAGGCACGGGCGGTAGGGACAGAGTGGCGGGCGTGAGGGCGAAGCGGGGTGGTCATGGGGTCAGGGAAAACATGGTTACGGTCGTGGCGAGCGCTGCCATGTTTTGTGTGTTTTGCAGAACGATGAGTTTGGGAAGGCGAGGTGGTGGTGTTGCTTGGAGGTGATTCGGCACTCGGGCGTTTAGCACCGCGGACCCGGGTCCAAGAATCCTCGCCGCCGGACTCAGTGGCCATGTCCGCGGGGCAAGCAAGCGAGCAAGTGAGCGGACACGGTGGGAGCGAGGGCGCCGCCAAAACGCGGGCCGCAAAGAGCGGGGTTGCAGATTTTGTCTGACAACGTGGTTCACGCCAAGATGTCAGAGAAAAAAAATGGCCGTATCTCTGGTTATACTTGGTAGTTTTGTACGATTTTTGTTTCCTTGTGCGTGATTCTTCGCGCTTGTACTCCTCGGCATGATAGGAGCCGATGAAAATGTCTTGTTCTCTTGTGTTGTTTTGCGTGCCGTCGTGATTTTGATGTCGGGGTTGCACAGCTTTGCTTTCGGCTCTGAGGTTCAGCTCTGAGGTTCAAACACCTAATTTATTATTTTCGCCTTGTCCACACACATTACACTGTACTGGACATATACCTTTAATAGGTTATGGGCCTCGGTTGTGTACTCTTCCAACCTCTCTTTCGTTACCCTGCCTTGCGCTCTCCAGCTGCTCCGTTCCCCTCCTGCTTCCTCCCTGTGTCTTCTGCTTGCTGTGCTCTGTTTTTGTGCTTTTAAAACGATTCAATTTCATCAAAAACCTCTCTGTTCGCTTTGCTGTAAATTGTCATACTTTTTCTTGTTTGCCTGCTTGCTTGCTTGTTCTTTTCGTTTTTCTTTGCATACGTATCCCTTCCTTGATCATCGCCACCATGCCATTTAGTGTTATGCATACTCCTGTTGACCAGCGAGTCACTCGTAGCCGTGGCGCTGTGCAAAGCGCTGCTCGCGCTGCTGCCACCAGAAACTTTGAGGCTCGCACCGACCTCACGCGCGACTTCCAGCACGAAGAAGATCATGCCGAACCCCACGCTCTCGATTGCTTGGTCAACGAGCATGAGGAAGAGGAAAGACCGAAAATGGCCGCCACCGGGTCGCACCCGGCCACGCCTTCGACAGGAGCCGCTCCCGTCGAGGCTACAGCGAGCGCTTCTCGCCATGCCGCAAGCGCCGCCGCCACATCAGCCGCC